TATAGTATGGATGCTTGTTTCCACCAAAACAAAAACTTTTTCTCCTGGCACAGTTAAGTGAAAACTTCTTATATTATTTAAAATTTTTGACATCTCAACTTTCTCTGATATTTTTACTAACTCGAAGTTTTGACTTGGGAATAGCAAAAACAAAAAAAGTGTTAAGAAGAAGCTTCCAAGTGTAGAGACTTGCTTGTTGCATTGATTGTTTTCTGGAGGAATTCCATTTTATAAAATCTTGATTAAAAATAATTAATTGCAAATATTTATTTATTCGATGCTAGCTTTGCATCATTCAGTTTTAAATAGTCCTTATCTTATATTGAGCATTAGCTCTTCAGTTCACCCTCTGAAACAAGGTGTTTTAGCTCCCTGCTTCTAACTCAGCCCATGATTTCAGGTAGCGAGGAAAAGAGCTTAGTGGCTTTACTGACCAGAACAGAGGCACAGAGGAACCATAGGTGGTGCTGTGGGAAATCAGAAAAGCATGCTTCAATAACCATTAGGACCATAGACTGTATGTAAAAGATGAGCGTAGCTTTCAGGTCACAAAACTGAAGCCACGGCAGAAATACTTTCAACCTTCCATCTTTCTAATGAACAGCAGGGGGCAGCATCTGTAGTTTGAAAAGGTCCGGTTACATAAAAGTCTAGCAAAATTATAAATTTAACTTGTGACCTCAGTAAACACTTTCCTAACGAGTTTATGGCCTCCGGCACCAGTTTTACTTAACACAACATAAAGGTGATTTTGTCTGGTTATTATTACAGCCAGAAAGGAGGACTGCATGGGGTGTGCTTTATTGGCTAAAGACTCCCAGCTTCTCCTTCAGACACACCTCCGATCTTTACAAGTTCATGTTTGAATCAGCAAATACATTATTTACAGTATATCAGCTGCTTGTTATCTGATGTCTCCATGAAGATCACTGGAATGCAGAGGTGTTTCCAGGATTTTTTTAACGAGAGGACCCAAAAACAACAACATGAAGAAATCAATATTTAATCAGATGAAAATACAGATGCAGGAAATAGTCACAAATTTCAGGGTCTACTGAGGCAACTATTACCACTCTTGTAAATCCTATATGAGTAGAATACAAAAATCTAAATCACTGTATCATATGTGTGATATTACTGGATTATAATCTTTGCATAATACTCATACTCATAATACTTACATTCTATAGGTAACGTCATCTATAGTATTACAGCCTAACATGTTAGTAGAGTTTTATTTCGTTAAGTAATAAAAGTAATAATGTGATAACAGCTCTAAAATGAATGGTCTGAAATACAAAAATCAGTGTTTTTATTTAAGCTGTAGTTCAGAAGAGGAAAGTACCCGTAAATAGTAATACTGGAAGTATAATTACATTAAAATCTTTTCTTAATGTGGACAATGTGATTCAAATTTATTTCATTATCTGCTTGGTTGTTTTTAAAAAATTAGTTTTCAGTTAAGGTATCAAGTGATAAAGCTGTTGTACTCTTTAACATAATAAATACAAAGCTCATACCAGTTTGCGTCATGCTGTTTGTGTTTATTTTCCTCCTGAACACAGTTAAACACACATATGAGGACTTTATTGACATAAAGTAATGAACTGATTCATCCCCACTGATAGGAAAGCAGCGACAGGCTGAATATGAGTATTTTGTGGTTACAGGTTCTTAAAAAAATACTTCTAAACCGATAGAAAATGAGGTTAAATGATTTTCTATTACTCGTGGTTAATTTTTGATCAAAAGCGATGGGATGAGAAGCAGCAGATGCGCTCCCTCCTGTCTCAGCAGCCCTCCGTCTCCGTGAATGATGCGGGGATGGTGCAGAGTTTGATTCCTCTCTTGGCATTCACCGCGTGCCTTAATTGTATGGCTAATAAATCAAGGTCCGCCGTGAACACGAGGAGCGGCAACCCTGGCTCCCTTATCGAGGAAAGTTGGAGCTTCTGACCGTCACAGACAGAAAAAACACACAAATAACCCGACAGGCCTGAGCGCCATCACTCTGCATCGCCGTTTACATGTCTTGAAAATATGACCTGAATTTCACACCAACCATCAACATAAATTAAAACACATCACACAATGCGCGCCTTCGTCTTCTTTCCCTCCTGCGCGACCGTGAATTATCAGTCCATCGTCCCCGGCGCGTCTTCATTCCGTGACACAGCACCTGTCCTGTTTTATTCTCAGTGATGGATGTGTGGAGGTGAAGCAGGCCAGACAATGCCGTCCACAGTCCGAGGCGGGCGGGCAAGCCCACTGGTGATGCTCAGCCAGGCTTTGAGTCAGAGGAAATAAAAACCTGCGTCAGCCCTCCGGACTCCGAGGTTTAAGTATCTGACAGATATTTTCGGTTTTCTGGATATTTCACATTTCTCTACAGCAAAAACCGCCCCCGTCCTGATTTGCGTGCGTCTTTCATATCCCGGTGTTCACAGCTGAAGCAGTAACGTCATGACGTGGCTCCGCTATGAGACGCAAAGTGTTTGACCCCATTAAAGCGTCTACAGAGCGTATTAATAAAATATATGGACCCGATGTCGAGCGGTACTGCAATGTTTTCATTTCTGTGGGCAGGAAAAGATCCGCATGCGCTGACCAGGGTGCTGAAAGCGGACCCGCTGGGAGTCAGTTAACCGCACAGGAGCCTCTATACAGCTTCATCCCCTAAATATATTCAATCTAATAGTTTATAAAGTTGTATTTTCTTCGCTGTAACCGCATTAAAATTACAGAAGAAGCTGCTCCTTGAGGACAACCATTCACACATACAAATGCAACTTTTCTAATTATGCAAATAATGGAAAATATCACGACTGTGATAAATAACGAAAATGCATAAATTACAAAAATGAAAACATAAAATATGCCGTTTCGCAGCATTTGTGCAACACATGAGGAACAACGGCTATCAGTGACTCAACAATGTGCATTTTTAAGGGTCTGATTCCCTTTCAGGATACAGACCGACAGATAGAACTGTCCATCATATCTATGAAACCTGAAATGGAAGAGAAATTAAAAAGCGCAACAATGGTCCAGTTCCGATGAAGCTGAAATATATAAACTCACCGCAGAGGGCGCCTGAACACGCCGGGTGAGATCCATTCACAGATACGTCACTAAACAAGAAACAGAATAATGTGCAGCTCATTCATCAGCAACAAGAATTATTGATTTTCATATTTGCGTCACCAACGATCTTTTGCCTTATTTTCTTTCTTCTTTATTGACATACAGTACTTAAATGTATTAGATCACCACCCAGTGTAAGGTTTATGCCACAGCTGCCTTAAATTAACAGTATTGGTAATTAACAAAATCATTTTTATATTTTTGCAATGGTCGGTACAAAAACAATAGTTATATGATATTATATTGTTATATTTATTGTGGTTTTCCGTGGATTTTCAGATTTACAGTGCTGATTTATAGCTGAAAATGATAAAGTGCATAGCTGTTATGATCAAGATGCCAAATTACAGTTATTTACATGCATTCATGAACAATTAAAAATAACTTTAGTTCTTGAATGTTATGCTTTATTAATTCCTGACCTCCAGAAGTCCAGAGTGCCCGCTCAAATTTAAGCATATAAAGGTAAATTTACTTTGCTATTGAATGTTAAGGTAACTTTCTGAACCAAAAACACTCTGTTTCAGACAGGTTTTGTTCTACTGGCTCTCTATGATGTCACAGAGAGCAATTATCTCAGACACAAGATGTGAAAACATGTTCCACACACCTGCTGTTTTGAACTCATGTTTGTGTGGGACAGCCAATCAGAAGAGAGCTGGCTTTAAAGCGGGAGGACTGCTGCCTTAATGTGTTGTGGCCCTTACGATATTTGAGAGAGGCACCATCAATCAGAGGACGCCCTATGAGCACTTGGGAACAGTGAGAAGGAAAGACTCCCTTTAAACAGGAAGAATAAAATAAAAAGACATGTATGCCCCTTTATTTATTAAATTTATATTTTTATTTATGAAACAAAAACTTTTTTTTTCTTCATGATAGAAGTGGACTTTTGTAGTGCACTTTTCCCAATTTAAGCCTCACACATTAAAAAAATAGTTTTTATGTTACTTTTTTTTACAAGACTAAAAGTTCCTATCTCATATACAAGCCTATGCTTTCAAAAAAGTACTGCAACATTTTTACAAACCAAATGACACATTATTAAAATCATCTGAATACACATTCCTAATATTGTAAACCAATGGTGAAAGTAAAAAGCCACTATTATGTTTTAAATAAAACCAAATTTAAATAGAAACTAAAGGAAAAACACCCACAAAACAAAACACCTTTTTGTAGATGTTAAATATCAACAACTGCACAGATCAAGTATAAACATTTAAAACACTTTTACGACCCAAACTTTACAGCACCATTGAAAACACCTGAATAAAGATGTTTATAATGTCATTATAAATACATATAAAAGAGTTGTTTTATTAATCCTGCTAAAGTTTAACATTAGGTCTTCAGTGCTGGTTAAAACTAAAGTATGCAGCATTTAAACAAAACAAAACAAAGGAATTACAGATAACCTGAAACTCCTCCTATAAGCTCCTCCCACTAGACAAGACCCTGATCCTGAACCCTGATCTTCCAGGTAAAAGTCCTTCACCTGATGCATACTCTACCTGTTTTTATATACACTTTTTTGTTACCTGTTCTGAAAAGATCTGTGATTGGCCGAAGTCTCCCATCACATATTACATTTTCTATTAAACCCTGAAAGCAGCCCAGGAGTCCAGCTGTCTCTCAGAAAAGTTTAAATAACCTGACAGGTTATTGTGACAAATTATGACCTCTATACCCTCTTGATGCTCTACTTTCTAATACACTAAATCTGCTGCTTAATAATATCATATAATATATTATTTGGTAAGAGTGGCTAAAATTATTTTGTCAAATAGACATAAAGTTTTCGACTCATATGCACACAAAATTGGGGGG